CCCCTTTGGACTTCTCATGGGAGTACAGTTCATACTACAAAAGGGAGCCAACTGCACTGGATGCAATTTAAATTGTAACGTCGTAATGGGATTGAGTGATTTTATCAATATTAATGTACGAAGGCTAAGAATATTGTATCATTGGAACTCTAAATGTTGACCTCCAACTACGAGCTAAGGTTTTTCCTTTCTGCATTGAATTATTTGAATGTGTTTTGAGTAATGCAACACTTCTCATACCTGTCAGCATAGTCAGCACAGATTTTTAAAATATAATTTAAGGGAGGAGCAATGGTTGTTCTGAGATTTAAAACAGTTGTGACCAGTGGTTGCAATATTTTATTACAGAATGCATTTTATTCTCTTTAGCATTTGCTTCAATTTTCAAAGTGTTCAGGTTTATTTCTAAAATGTTTAAGGTCTTCACGATGCTTATTACTGTTATGTGGTCAGCTCACGGCGTGCGCTCCCTGTTTCGCTGCCTCAAAAGCTTATTGACGGAGCCATTGATCTGTGGTGTCCAAGACTAGAGGCTTACGTTCAAGAGAATGGAGGGCACATTGAACACATTTTCAGTTGAAGTCTACGTCCATTAAACAAATTGTGCGCGTTCGTGTTTCGCATTTATACATCTGTTTTTGTTCTGCTTGCTTGTATGTTTTGTCAGTTGTGAGAATTTTCAAGTCGAAAGAAAAAAGGAATACTTACATTTTTGGCGATGAAAAGTAAATTAAACGCCCATCTCACAGTTTTTTTAATTTCTACTTGATAGTTGGCAGACAAACCCTAATTGAGTGACACTACAGGCATACCAAATGTCATCAATATCGGCGGCATACAACCAGATTAAAAATTTACCAAAAATGATAGCTTCGTTTTTTTTGGCCCACCTTGTATATTTGCTTCAGTCAAACGGAGAGACGTGGAAAGCTGAAACTTGACATGGACGTGCCTACTAAGGCAATCCGTTCAGGGGAAAAATGTCAGGTTTTAGAGGCATGCTCTGCGGGCGCATTTTTCTGTGAATACGTTTTTAATTTTTTTTGTCATAGCAAACTGAGCAGGAATAGATGTGTAAAACTTGCCACATGCATAACTGACATAATGCTGAGTTCAGGAATAATTTAAACTTTGTGGTGCATCTCATCATGGCATAGCTTTTGGATGGGTAGTCTTATATATAGACCATCGTGACTGAGGATTCATTGACTGACTGACTAACGCTAACTTTATATATGTTCTAGATATTATACACGGATGAAACGTGCAGTGACGTAGCCAGGAACTAATTTCGGGGGGTGTCTTGTGAGGTTCTTGCAGGCTTGCGAGATGACGAAGTGGCCGAGGAAGGCGAGGGGTTGGGAGGAATGAGGAAAACTTGGAAAGCCTTTAACCCCACCTTCCTCATAGTTCAAAATGGCCCCCTTCTTTTCCCAAAATTGCAAATTGCATCCAAAAAAAATTTTCATGAAAGGAGATATAGGTAAGGGCAAACCTTGAATTAGTCATAATATAGTGTGTGAAAGCCAACAACGTGGCTTTCACCCACTATATTATGACTGGTGGCACTCATGTTTTGCGACTGGAACTCAACTGGGGGAGTAACAAACTGGAAGCAAAATGGGGGTAGGGGGCACTGTATTGATTATGAGTGATTTTATTCAGAAGGTGGAATAGGAGTGCAAGGCAAAACTGCAGTTTTATACGTGAAACCTTTCACACCCCCACCCCCAAACTCCCATTCTCCTCGTTGATATTCTGCTTCTTTTCGGGGAGTGTCCAGACACCCAGAACACCCCCACTGGCAACGTCCCTGAAAACGTGGTACGTGGATTTCTATTAGGATTCAGAGTTAAAAAAAATCCCGACTTTGGAGGTGCATGCCCTGGGGACACTCATTTTCGGGGGATGTGTTTTCAATTATATATATTTGCTCCCTTCAAACGGAGAAACTTGGCATGGACGTCCCTACCTACTGTAGACTAAGGGTAAATGGAAAAATGTCTACTTTCGGATGTATGCTCTGGGGCATATTTTTTGGGCGTGACGTTTCTAAATAACTTTCTTTTTGTCCTACCGAATTTGGCAGAGATAAAAGGGTGCAACGTGATGCATAAGTACGTTTTGGGAACCTGAATTCATAAAAATTCAGGCTTTCAAGGTAAATGTCCCTGGGGGAACAAATTTCAGGGGAAATATTTTCGAATATTTTATTTCTTTCTGTTAAAAGGATGAACATGGAAAGCAGAAACTTGATGTGGACATATCGACTGACACTCTGAGATAATTAAAAAAATTAAGTTTCGTATGCATGCTCTGTGGGCATATTTTTTTCGGGGGGTGATGTTTACAAAATAATTTGTCCTACAGAATTGGGCGAAAATAGAAAATTGAAACTTGGCAAACCGACAATTGAGGTGAAGGTTAGTTCAGAAAAAGTCAACTTAGTGGTGCACACCTTTGGGGCAGAGCTGTTGGCTGCATCAGCTTTTTCAAATATATTTTTGCACCAATAAAAAGAACAAACGGATAAGGCTGAAACTTGGTAGAAACGTAGTTCTCCAAGTATTAATTCCAGTAAATATGTTAACTTTTTGGTAAAAACCCTGAGGGCACATTTCTCGCAAAAGTCGTATTTTCCCGAATCTTTTCTCATCCAATGAAAGAGAGAGCCGGAAAATTTTGAAATATGGAGCAGAAATTCTTGTTCGAGTGATGAGTGCATGTCCCACATTTTAATCATGCCCGTTCAGGGCAGATTTTGTTGAGATTTGCAGTTAGGCAAGCAATAAATAATCGGAGTAATCATTTTGATGAAAATTTTGATTCTTTCTCGGCACCTTTTTATAATACTTTTTTTTGCCACTTTGAAAATAAAGAAATATAGGGGAGGCGTTCCAGCTCAAGTGGTCAATTTTTTTCACTTTCCTTGCGTTTCAGACTCCGATTTGAACCAGAGAGCCAACATTTTGGATTTTTTCTTAAGTCTTGATTGCCAACATGCAATAATTATTTCAAGCAAATCGGAGTCTGAAGCGCAAGCACCCCTTGACCACATGAGCTGGAATGCCTCAGGGATGAATAACCAGAACAATGGAGTGCCGAAGGCGTGACTATAGGGAGTTTGATTGCCCTTTCGGGCACACAAAAATTATGATTTCATTGAAAAAGCTAAACTCATTTTCTTTATCGCTTTAGTTAACACATTGGTGACGGGCCCCGAGAAATCTCGTAGTACGCTCGCGAGCGGTTGGTAATCGGCCCCGGAGTGACCGTCCCCCCTCGCGAGCGTACTACGAGATTTCTCGGGGCCAGTCACCAATGTGTTAATTCGCCATTGTTGAAAGTTTCACTGCGGAGCCAAGTCAGTTGACAAAGTCTGAGTTAATAAAGTTGAAGAACACGTAACTAAAACTTTTACGATTTCGTAAAACTTCAAGTATACGTACCTTTATAGAACCTGAAAAATCGCTTATTTTTAGGTGAGCGATGAATAAATCCAGATCAATGTCCAAGTGTCAGATTTGAAAGGCTTTTTTGTACGCGAAGTTTTCTGAATCATTCCAGCATCCTGGGAAGCCTGTGTTCTGGACTTCTAACATCTTATGTAAGAAGAGATAGGTGGAGAATGAGATTTTAATTGGAAATGAACTCAACTTTCTTGCGATTTTCAGATTCTGGCTAAATAATTGTTGGCAAGCAGCATACATCTGCCAATTCACATCATGTTGAACATGATCTAAAAGTAAAAATCGTGAATCATTGGCAACATTCAAGCGTACAATGGTATACTTTATACTTCAATCAAGGTGTACTAGTATATTGGCATTATAAGAAGTAAAGCCCCATGTTAAAGAGAAAATATGCTGTGCATATCATGAGAGGAATAGAGAATAGCTATTAATTAAAAAAATTCGAAGTGATTTATCATTCCCAGCCAGTTCGTTGAAGCAAAGCCAGTTTTCTTTTTCATATGCGAGAACCAAGCATTTCTGAGATCCATAGACGAGGTCGTTCTCGTGTAACTCTATGGACTATTATAAGTGCATTACATCATGTCATATGCCAATTTATAGGAATGATGTATATTTTTCTTCACAGAAAAAAAGAAGATCCGCGTCATTCAAGGGAGAGAAGGAGAATTCTATGAGGACCTATGGGGGATCTAAGGTTTCCTTGGTTTCCTCTTCAATCTATTTTTACCTGATTCTACCTATTTAACTCGACGCGATCCTCCGAATCCCTTTCTTGCCGGTCCTCTTTCTGAGACTGTGGGAAAGTTCCAGACTTTTCTGAAAAAGTTGGGGAAAGGGAAACACCTCCTCATCGATGACATACCCACTGCTTTCGGATTTGAACATATCAGAACCCCCGATTATCTTAAAATTCTATGGTGGCTCACCGCGGAGACTAAAAGTCACTTCAAAACCGTCACTATGACATTTAGAGCGGATGAACAGTTTCACTTGGAATTCCTCCTCCACGATCTCATGGAAACCGGATTATTTCGCATCACAAGTTTAACGTGCAGGAAAAGGTGTACCAAACGCATTTCAGACTTGCTCCTGGCCATTAAAAATGTAATGCCTCCATATGTGTATTGTGAGATTAACGTCAAAATGGAATTGCCAGAACCAGTGGAGCAACGTATTCCCTCTTTCTGGCATTGTGAACAATTCTCGGTTTCATTTGCATAACTTCAAGAGATGCTCCTTATGAGGGAGAGCAGTTTAAACGGTTACCAACAACATCGTCTGAGATCCTGAGAAGGAGAGAAAGAGTAAGGGGGAGTTAAAGGAAGAGTTGGAGGGAGAGAATAACACACCCTCTCAATTCCTTTCATTTGCTTTCAAGGAAAAGAGGCATTCCTTTACAATGAAAAGCAAGGTATGCCACCAATCCTCCTCGTCTCTCCGGATGAAATATCAGGCTGTCATTTTAGGAATGTCACGGTAGTAATACGTCCGTTTCAACAATGGGGAAAAAATTACTCTCGACTCATGGTTGCATCTGGTGAAAACAAGATCGTCCTGGTCACAGAAGAAGAGTTCACATGTGAGAGGTTCCCTGGCTTTGCGAAAGAAAATGGTACGTGCAAAATGCAAATGCCAACACCTGATCATGTCCATCAAACATTGATTCAAAGGAAGAAGGTAGGATTACGAAGACATTCATATAATAATAAGCCAATTCCTGTTCCGTTTCCTCAATTGGAAATGGATTTAGATTGGATTGAAGAAGGAGATGAGGAGGACGTGAAAAAGATTCTTGGATCTTGGCTTACTGGAATTTTTGGATACCCAGCGTCTGGGAAATCGAGGAAGGTGGACAGATTGATTAAACGAGTCGTGGAGCTTCGGGGTGGAGTCATTCTTTTCCTCTGCGGAAGCGAAATCTTCAATGAACTTATCCGACGGCGCTGGGAATCTCAGGCGACTGTAGAAATCGTGCCCTTTCACGAAGTCGTGATGGGAATCGAGTCGCTCCACGACATCGTCGAAAGTATCATTGTCAGTTTGAGAGGGTATCTCATGAGGATTCAGAAGGAGGATCTGGTGGGTCCAGTCGTCGCAGTAGTCGAGGATTGTTCATTGGGGAAGTGGAAGTTTGCAGACATTGATACCGTCGTGAAAACCTTGAAAGCGAATAACCTGAAGTTGATCATTTCCTTCAAATCCCATTCGGTTCATGCCCATGGAATCTCAGTGGAAGGAGTAATAAATTCCCTGGAAAAAAACGAGGACTCCACTGCCATCGTAATCCGTTCTCATCCAACTGATTACCATATTCTGCGGCGCATCATTCAAAGAGAGAATTCATGGTTCTCAGAAGTAAAGAATTTCTGCAAATCTTCAGAAGCTGTCGTTGGCCCACCGGTGTTATACCTCAACTATACCTGTTCAGGAACACATTGTGGATGTATTTGCTTTGGAAAGGAAAGATGTGGTAATAGTTCTCTTGTTCAGAAATCCCTTGTTCAGTCTATCCTGGCAAAGATGACAGAGGAAGATAAGCCTCAAGTACTTGTGATGGATGACAGCTTGGTGCGTGAGTTGCGGGAAAGTGTCCGCGATATCCGGCAGAACATTCAAATATCACACTATAAAGATTTCGGCGGTTTTGAAGCCTCGGTCGTCATCTCCATCAACGGAAATCTAAGGGATACCCATGATGTCATCTCTCGCTGCAGGACTCGTCTCATCATCATCGACAACCTACTCGCTAACGAATCCATCTGGAAGGCTCTGACCGAAGCCGAACTTATCCAGACCATGGATGTTTCCTTCCCAATGGACATTCAAGACAACTCGGATACCCACATGAAACTAAAACAGTTCCTAGACGTGAGTTTCCACCTTTTCTTCAAAGCTTCCTCAGTCATATTCAATTGTTCTGACATCCCAAACCTTTTTTCGTGTGATGTTAATTCATGTTCATTCTGCTTGCGTTTATGATTCTTGGATTTGGAAACATAATAATTCAAAATTCTCCTCTTCCTCAAAATGATTAAGGTTTGGAAACACGGTTTTCATCAATTGTGCCTCCACACGTCCTGGTCAGCTGTAGTGAGGCTGAAGGATTAATGTCTCTTCAAGAGCACTTAAACTGTATATTGTCGTTTTGATTAACGCGTATATTCTGTTATAATTCACTATTCAATGTTTAACCGTTTAACTGCTGGGTTTGTATTCGAAACGGTACCCCTAATGCGAGTTACTTTCGTTACTTCTGTTACAGTCACGTATCAAAATGTTATGAATTTTCTCCTGTTGGTCGTTTGTGGACTAGGCTCAGTTCAATGTGATCTATAAAACTGGATCAACTGCTCAATTTCTATTATATTAATTATTTGATAGCGTTTTTATTATGGTATTTATTTTCCATGAAATAAAATTGCAGGGGGGCATATTGCGCCTTTAATTATATGACAATCGATTCATATAATTTGTTCCATTTACGCTTGGGTTCATCTGATTGTATTAATACATTCATATGTCGCCAATATTTGGTTATAATAGGGGCATCGGTTGGATGTTTGCCTGGACTAACAGCCTCTAGAGGTTTTACGAATTGCATGATCTCTCACCAAGCGACGATGCAGAGAAATTCCTTGAAGCATCTAATTGGAAATCTAGTCAAGCAGGGCTTCTAGAGGTTTTTTTTGTTTTTTTGTTTGTTCTGGGAGACAGCCCCAATAGTAAATTAGTGCAGCTTCTTGTCATATGGACGGTTTCGTTTGAAACGCCTTATAGACGCCTTCGGAAAGTTGCACTGCAGCAATATGATACTGGCATTGATAGGAAATGACAACATAGCTTCTCACACCACGATCTGCAGATTTCAACAGATGGAAGACCGCAATCGGTTGATCTGTAGCTTGGGTATTGCTCCAATGAAAGGAATGTAGTGCATCTTGGACAACAAATCCATATTTTCCCTGGAAATCCCTCTTCACGATAGATTGTCATTTGCCGTTCACTGAAACTGAACAGTAGATTATTGAATGATAACAGAATATTGCTAACTGCAGATATTTAACATTGGACAATTAAATATGCAAAAGTGAAGGAAACTTTTAGTGAAACCTCATCGATTAGTTAAATCTATGAATGTATAATCAGATAAACGCAAAGCATAAATAGAGCAAATTGACATTGTTTGAGAGTTATGAAATTCGCCATACTTGAAAACCGATATTATCAGCACTCATATATTATGTTTCGTAATAGCTTGACATTCCTCGTAGTTCCGTTCATCGCCCATGCGCCTATACGAATCCCATATTAGTTTCTTACCTATGATCACCACCGGAATTTTATATGTAAGGCAAGCCGGCTATCTGAGCGATCTCTTTGACTTAGGATTCAAACCACTATGAACTCAAGTGTGTTTTTATGATGTATATCCATAATCCTCCTTTTGCCTCGACATATTTACGCAAGAATAGGGGTGATATTGCCACTTGAGATTAATTTGGAAAGTACCCAGATGATCCTTATCCATGTATTGTTTTGCTGTGGCTTAGATCTGGCAGTGTGCCTATCATTCAACATTTTCAGAATGCTGACAAAATCACATTTTACCGTGATCGGCCTTAAAAGCCAGGTTTAACTATTTAGGGCTGCAATGATCCCTCAAATCACCCTTTTTTCCAAGTGTGTCATACATGACTCTCTCCCGTTTCAGTTCGTAAGCTGGAACGAGGGAGGAAAGAGAATTGGGAAGGAAATGCTGAGAAGAGGCCTCATGGATGAGGACACAGGTGCCTTTCTCAACCTGCCACCTAAGTTATGGAAGGCCCTGAACGAATACGAGCCCTTTCCAGCGTCCTTCCCATTCACCGATTGGGGATTTTGCTGTAAGTGAAACGTGTCTATCCGATGATGTCCCGGGGAAATATACTCTTGCATCCCTGGCGAAACGTTCACAAACCGCTTAGACACGGAAGCAAATGGATATACCTCTAGGCTGAAATCCACCTACTGGAGGGTTGTCCAGCTTGTCTCGAACCCACTCACGCGTTGGTATCCATCAGATACATTTAGATGGAAACTCGTGTAGATTTCTTCTAGGTATTAGGGCATCTAACTTTTTCCAATGTCATGCAGAGGATGCCTCAGCTTTATTTGACCATTTTCAAAATGCATTTACTCATAGGGGAAAGGATACAAATATTTTGTGTGACACGTGATTCTAGGGCCAGAAGTTACCTTTTGCCATGGGAAATAATGGGTCATTGCATTGGTGTTTAATGATGCCCGCTGACTGGGTCGTGATGTGCGTGAAACGTCTTTCCATGAAAGGACATTCACACAAAATGAAAATTCCCATGTGTTTCTTGGAAGGATCCCGCGATTCCAAAGGGAACTCAAATATCATCATTTGCAAGGTAAAGAGACGAGAAACGAAGAAATTCGTGAATTTCAGATTTAAGGCGTAACGCAAGACCGCTTTACAAAAAAAAAACTCCTGTAGGAAACCCATAGATATTTCTTATATGAAACAATTAGACTTTTCCTATAGGATTTTGAAGGACAAAAAACCTATAGGGTATTATAGGACTCCTGACCTATAGGATTTGGTGAGGTTTTCTGGGTTTCAATACCCTTAAATCACAACCGGAATTATTGCTAAATGGAATGACCACCGGGGTTAATATTGGCGCTGCTTTTTGCTCTGAATTCATGCCGAATAAACGTTTACCCATGGCGGGGGCATCTTCAGTACTAGTACTTCCAGCACCACAGTAGTATTACTCTTTTCCCAGGCGCACATCTGTCTCATGGCAGAACGGCGTATCCGCGAGCTCAATTCCTTCTATGGTGAGAAAATGATTACTCTCCACCCAGCTTAGAAATATTGTAGACATAAGCTGCGTACATCACCTCTTTACTGAAACCACTTTCACATGAGGCGAATTTTTTTATGAGGATAGGAGCTAAATGCATGGTGGGCCTCCGCTATCATGTGGTGGACCAACACATGATTCTCGCCCAACATGGGGAGATCCTCCGGACGTGAGGGCTGGCCGAGAGCAAGACCCTCATGATGCCAATGACTTAGCCCTGAGAAGGTGACTCATGGCTATGGGGGAGAAGTCAGCTCGAGAGAGAGCTGTTTCCCCCCTAGGATCTTTCCCTTGCGATTTTCTGTCTTTGGGTGTTTAAGTAAAGAGTAAGGAACTATGCGACTTTATTGAGAAAAGAACCTGAATTTATTCATGTTAGTATCAGTATGTTGGGGCGCTTAGTATTTAGGTTGAGCCGAAGAGGAATGAGATCTATAAGGACCTACACGTTCTACTTCATGAGTCAGTGAGATGTGATTTTAAGTCGATATTATATTTACATCCTATCGGAAGGGTTAAGGGCAGATGCCACGTACTGTAGATCAAACGGCGTTAGTGTATCCATCTGGCCGGAAGGGCCTTTTGAGGTGTGCGAATCTTTTGTCTTATGGGGTTCTCTTAGGGAATGAGCTTATTTCTGGCCTGGACTCCATGATGTTGTCTGGAATATGGAAATAGTAAATAAGGAATTGTCAAAAGTTTATTGATTGCTACAACGAGGTGAGGCGAGACATGTGGGGAGGTACAAAACACTCCTGTGAGAGATGATTCCATGGATAGAGGGAAGGGCACTTTTGCGTACTGGGAAAAATGGGAGACCCATAACTCCATTAGTATCCTAAAGGAGAACTTCAAAAATTCCTTTAAAATTTCCAATGCAACGTAGGTACATTGCATCATCACATTGGTCCGATATTGGATCGATGATGGAATGGCTATATTGGGAAGCCGATATTTACCAATATTGGTAATATTGGCCATGGTGCAGCCAATGTGCCCAATGGTGGTCCAGAATTAAGCCAATATCTAGTGCTACAGGGGTGGGGAGTGAGCTTTCCAATATGTGACATTACAAAGTTGAGCCAACGTCCAGCCAGTTTTGAATTTCAACGTTCATCTGAGTATTGCGATTACCGACATTTAAATATTAGGTTAATATTAGATGGAATGCCCCCACGACGCTGCGAAGGTTCAAACGTAACGTTCATACAATGCCGATTGAATATTCGTTTGTTACCTGGGCCCTTCCTCTTCCCCCAACACATTGATGGATACAGGGATGGGGGGGGATTATACATAACTTATTAATAGAAAGGCGCTTCGCCTTTCCATTAATAAGTTATGTATCCCACTGCTCTAACAGATGTGCTGTCCATCACGGACTTATGAAGTTCTCTTGAGGTAGTTGCGACGTAACACATTGAGGACGGGTCTCGTGTAAACGTGTGTTTTGCGTCTGACCAAGAATCAAGGAACTCCTGTCATATGTTGAGGGTTTTTCAAACTGCTTGAACAGCTGTCATTAAGTAGGAAGCTTGTAGCTTCACGATGGTTACCTAAAAAGCCTGGGAACCAGGGGTATGATACCATTTATTCGTCCGTTCCTCCATGGCATTCAATGGGGCTTGGAAAGTAAATTTAGCTTGAAGCGAGGTTAATACCTGAGGGGAATGGCGTGAAAGTGACCCTTTTCACCTGCAAACATAATTTCCCTAGAAAAGGGGGCAGGGCATTCAATGCTAAGTACACTTGTACGTGGCCATGAATTTCATACTTGCTCGCGAAAGACGAGGTTCTGGTCCTTCATATTTTGTGTATGCATCAGCAGAGAGGTCTTTTTCGGAATTGAAGGGGTTGAAGAATTGGATAAAGACGACGACGACGACACAACAGCGCCTGACAAATGTCGCATTGATGGATGCACATCAAGACGTTTTGGACTCCTTAGAATCAGATTAATTGGTGAAATATTTTTTGGGAAAGAAAGCTGAGGAAAGGATATTAACATCCTCGTTTGACATGAATTTCCTACCTTGATCGTGTTTGAAGTAAACAGTTATTTTCCGAATTTCGGAATTGACCTATCTCATTTGCCCCCCACCCCACTTTTGAGGACGTTCCTACGCCTACGATAGGTCCAATGAGAAACCTTTAGGATAATATACGATTCCTATAGTAATCTAATAGGATGCTCTAGGAATATGTAGGAATCCTACGAGAATATATAGGAATCCTATAGGTATATGTAGGAATTTTATAGTTTTCCTATAGAACTTGTAGGGTTCTTAAAGGGGAAGCATGCATTCCTAAAGGGAGTCCATAAGATTCCTCCAGGTTTCTCATTCGACATAGGCGTAGGGAAGTCCTCGAAAGTGGGAGGGGGCAAGGGAGACAGGTCAGTTCAGAATTTCGGAAAATCGTATACTTTAATTCAGATAGCCCGAAATTTGTGGTGGTGCCCGTCACCCCAACCCGCGAGGCCTACGAAACTGTCATTTTACGCCAAAGGCTAGGCCATCCACCGCTCAAAGCGCCAGGTCCATGGGGCTACTCTTGTCTGAGCCATAGGCTGTGCTCATCTTATTATTTCTATAAGATAGGTACTTAGCTGTGTCAATCAAAGAGTGCTTCTAACTGAATGCGTGTCAAACCTTTGACTGATCGACTGCAANTTCACATGAGGCGAATTTTTTTATGAGGATAGGAGCTAAATGCATGGTGGGCCTCCTCTATCATGTGGTGGACCAACACATGATTCTCGCCCAACATGGGGAGATCCTCCGGACGTGAGGGCTGGCCGAGAGCAAGACCCTCATGATGCCAATGACTTAGCCCTGAGAAGGTGACTCATGGCTATGGGGGAGAAGTCATCTCGAGAGAGAGCTGTTTCCCCCCTAGGATCTTTCCCTTGCCGTTTTCTGTCTTTGGGTGTTTAAGTAAAGAGTAAGGAACTATGCGACTTTATAGAGAAAACAACCTGAATTTATTCATGTTAGTATCAGTATGTTGGGGCGCTTAGTATTTAGGTTGAGCCGAAGAGGAATGAGATCTATAAGGACCTACACGTTCTACTTCATGAGTCAGTGAAATGTGATTTTAAGTCGATATTATATTTACATCCTATCGGAAGGGTTAAGGGCAGATGCCACGTAGATCAAACGGCGTTAGTGTATCCAGCAGGCCGGAAGGGCCTTTTGAGGTGTGCGAATCTTTTGTCGTATGGGGTTCTCTTAGGGAATGAGCTTATTTCTGGCCTGGACTCCATGATGTTGTCTGGAATATGGAGATAGTAAATAAGGTATTGTCAAAAGTTTATTGATTGCTACAACGAGGCGAGGCGAGACATGTGGGGAGGTACAAAACACTCCTGTGAGAGATGATTCCATGGATAGAGGGAAGGGCACTTTTGCGTACTGGGAAAAATGGGAGACCCATAACTCCATTAGTAGCCTAAAGGAGAACTTCAAAAATTCCTTTAAAATTTCCAATGCAACGTAGGTACATTGCATCATCACATTGGTCCAATATTGGATCGATGATGGAATGGCTATATTGGGAAGCCGATATTTACCAATATTGGTAATATTGGCCATGGTGCAGCCAATGTGCCCAATGCTGGTCCAGAATTGAGCCAATATCTAGTGCTACAGGGGTGGGGAGTGAGCTTTCCAATATGTGACATTACAAAGTTGAGCCAACGTCCAGCCAGTTTTGAATTTCAACGTTCATCTGAGTATTGCGATTACCGACATTTAAATATTAGGTTAATATTAGATGGAATGCCCCCACGACGCTGCGAAGGTTCAAACGTAACATTCATACAATGCCGATTGAATATTCGTTTGTTACCTGGGNAATAAATTCAGGTTCTTTTCTCAATAAAGTCGCATAGTTCCTTACTCTTTACTTAAACACCCATCCCTGTATCCATCAATGTGATTATACATAACTTATCAATAGAAAGGCGCTTCGCCTTTCCATTAATAAGTTATGTATCCCACTGCTCTAACAGATGTGCTGTCCATCACGGACTTATGGAGTTCTCTTGAAGAAGTTGCGACTTAACACATTGAGGACGGGTCTCGTGTAAACGTGTGTTTTGCGTCTGACCAAGAATCAAATAACTCCTGTCATATGTTGAGGGTTTTTCAAACTGCTTGAACAGCTGTCATTAAGTAGGAAGCTTGTAGTTTCACGATGGTTACCTAAAAAGCCTGGGAACCAGGGGTATGATACCATTTATTCGTCCGTTCCTCCATGGCATTCAATGGGGCTTGGAAAGTAAATTTAGCTTGAAGCGAGGTTAATGCCTGAGGGGAATGGCGTGGTAGGGCACATTTGGTAAGCACTCAGTGGTAGTTCCTTTTTATCTCAGGTTGAAGATCTCACGTCCGATTAGACGTCGCCTTGTTCTGTAAAGTCTTTCCATGAAAAGAAGGGATGTGCTGGAGTCAGTCCCATTCAGTCATGAGTCTGCCTTGAAACATTTTAATGGTAGAACAGTGAATAGAGGTTCAGCGCCATGTAATGGAAGAGAAGTGCTGAAACTGGAACGCTTTTTGATTTCATTACGAAACGAAAGACAGCAAAAAAATTAGGAAAATTCAGGAATGGTAAACTTCATCGGTGTTGTGTTATCGGTTGTAAATACGGACAAGATTGCAGAGGAACCATTGCATGTTAGTGAAAGTGACCCTTTTCACCTGCAAACATAATTTCCCTAGAAAAGGGGGCAGGGCATTCAATGCTAAGTGCACTTGTACGTGGCCATGGATTTCATATTTGCCCGCGAAAGACGAGGTTCTGGTCATTCATATTTTGTGTATGCATCAGCAGAGAGGTCTTTTTTCGGAATTGAGGGGGTTGAAGAATTGGATAAAGACGACGACGACGACGACACAACAGCGCCTGACAAATTTCGCATTGATGGATGCACATCAAGACGTTTTGGACTCCTTAGAATCAGATTAATTGATGAAATATTTTGGAAAGAAAGCTGAGGAAAGGATATTAACATCCTCGTTTGACATGAATTTCCTACCTTGATCGTGTTTGAAGTAAACAGTTATTTTCCGAATTTCGGAATTGAACTATCTCATTTGTCCCCCACCCCACTTTTGAGGACGTTCCTACGCCTACGATAGGTCCAATGAGAAACCTATAGGATAATAAACGATTCCTATAGTAATCTAATAGGATGCTCTAGGAATATGTAGGAATCCTACGAGAATATATAGGAATCCTATAGGTATATGTAGGAATTTTATAGTTTTCCTATAGAACTTGTAGGGTTGTTAAAGGGGAAGCATGCATTCCTAAAGGGAGTCCATAAGATTCCTCCAGGTTTCTCATTCGACATAGGCGTAGGGAAGTCCTCGAAAGTGGGAGGGGGCAAGGGAGACAGGTCAGTTCCGAATTTCGGAAAATCGTATACTTTAATTCAGATAGCCCGAAAGTTGTGGTGGTGCCCGTCACCCCAACCCGCGAGGCCTATGAAACTGTCATTTTACGCCAAAGGCTAGGCCATCCACCGCTCAAAGCGCCAGGTCCATGGGGCTACTCTTGTCTGAGCCATAGGCTGTGCTCATCTTATTATTTCTATAAGATAGATACTTAGCTGTGTCAATCAAAGAGTGCTTCTAACTGAATGCGTGTCAAACCTTTGACTGATCGACTGCAA